TTAGCTAGCAGAAGGAGTGAAAAGCTCTCTCCACGATACTATGGGCCTTTCGAGATCGAAAGGAAAGTTGGGATGGTGGCCTACCGTCTCAAGTTACCTCCTCATTCCTCCATCCACCCTGTATACCACGCATCGCTATTGAAGAAGAGCATAGGGGATCATATTATGGCCATTCTTACTATACCCCAGGGCCTCACAGAAGATATGCAATTCTTACTAGAGCCACTACATGTGAAGGAAGTGAGGAAGAATGATCAAGGCAAAAGGGAGATTCTCATCGAGTGGAAGGACTTACCGACACATGAGGCTACTTGGGAGATATACGAAACCATGCAGACGCAGTTTCCAGACTTCAACCTTGAGGACAAGGTTGATCTTCTATAGGGCGGTATTGTTAGACCAGGTTTACCGGTCCCGCCTGGACCCGTGCGGGTCTACAGGCGGAAGAGGGGGGCGGGCATCCGGTTGGACCAAGAGGGGGACCTCCCACTTAAGTGGGGGTATTTTGGGGATGGGAGGGGATTTTTTGAAAGGGTATAAAGGGAGTCATTAGGGTTTAGTTTTGGGTATTATGAAAAGTGTATTCTCTTTCTAGTTTTCTTCCTCTAGTCTTCTCTTGTGCTTTTCTAGGGTTTTCTTGTGGGAGATCTTGTCCTTCTCGAAGTGGACAAACTTATCTTATTTTTCTCTTGGCTTGCTAATGCAAAGGTTCTCATTTTTCTTCTCTACCCTTTTGTGATTGTTTTCTCATTTGGTTTTGGTGGAGAAATTTCACTCTTTTGAAGGGAAATTAGGGCAAACCCTAATTTGTGAAACCTAAGACGTACCACTTCCTTCTCTGTTTTGCTGCACCGTTTGGGGACTGAGGTTATGTGGTTGTTGGCCTTTCATTTCCCTAAATCTAATTGGTTTAGTTGGAGGTGCTATGGCTGTTTGGTTCCCCTCTCTTGTCTATATGTAGAAGATGATTTTTGAGGGGAAAGGTTATTGAAAATTGTTGAGCATAGTCTCTTTAAAAACCCGAGGGTTTTCTTCTTCTTGGAAAATCTTGAGAGCTTTGTCCACTTCTTTCCTCTATTTTGTCTGGACTTCTTACCTCTTTCTTCTCTACGAAAGTTCCACTCCATTTGTATCCTTCTTCTTGAGCTTTGGAGGTGTTTGTTGGCTGATTTGGGAGCATTTGTTGGAGGAGTTTGGTTGGACGTTTGGACCTTCTTGTTATGGTGGACCATCGGTTTGCTAGCATTAAGCACATACTTTACTTAGCCTACGTTTCGATACATGTGAGGAAACTATTATGTCGGTTGTTCTAAGGATAGCATCTTTTTATATTTCTTTTGTTTATTTTGATCTCTCTTCTCGTTTTTTCCGTCGGTTTTTGATGTTATAGATGATTGCTACTATTTGAATCGAGTTTGGATATAATTTTTCCCATTATTCTCCTTGTTTGGCTTTTCTAACTAGTGTGCTTGCATCACAAGTAATGATGCATAACTCTTAACCATCCTTCAGCAGAGCCCAACTTAACCATGCTAGTAAAATGGGTAGAGATGATTGTATCATAGGATTTCAAGCAAATATGTTCATCCTCTACAAGCAATAGTGGTGCAAAGAATGACATGATGAATACAACAACTACTTGTCAATCTACAGACATGGAAGAATTTGCAAGGAATGTCATACGTCCGATAACCGGTGTTAACTTACAAAGGAGTAATTACAAGGGCTCTGGATGATTGAAATTTCTACACCTCACTCATAAGCAATAATCAACATGAATAAATATTTTGATCACAAGTGATGTTGCCAACTCACCATCCTACATATGAATGGTATGAATTCTACAGTGCCTACACTAATAAGCTCGTAAGTTTATAAGGAGAACTTGAATCATCAACGGAAAAGGATCCTGTTGAATGTGTCTTGAATCATAAGAAAGTCCTCTACAAATTTGTTGATGATACGATAGTCCCCACGAGCATTGAAAAGCTGCATATGATAAGTACAAGGGGTTGATGACAAAAGTGATAATGCCCTATGGGCAAACATCGAAGCATTACGACAAGCATAGGACTCCTACGAGCTACTATAAAAGATTCCTATACACCCAATGTACCACTCATGAGCAAAATGCAATATGATTAAGCCGAATGTAAATGCATATGAGTTGTCGTAGGAGACTCGTCAAATGTCCAAAATACCCCTGCACATACACTGTAATATGTATGCATATAGGTACACTAAAGGGGTAAATACAATTACGACCCACATGGGCCTCGGCGAGCGTGGTATAAGTTTACACATGACGTCTAGGGATATTGAACGAGTCTACAAATTTGAACCCGATCCTTCTAAGTAGGTAAAAAAGAATCGACAAGGTTTAATTATAAAATGCCCTCAAACACCCAAATGGGCCCCAACGAGTGTGTTACTGGTACACACGTGACGTCTAGGGATGTTGCGCTAGTTAATAAGTGAATTCCAATTCGAACCTGATCATTCTATGTGGATTAATAGGAGTCGATAGGGTTCGAACCTGATCATTCTATGTGGATTAATAGGAGTCGATAGGGTTCGAACCATCGAACAAATATACGGTTGTGATGACTAGTATATTTGTCCTAATAAGGCCTATAACAATATGAATTCACTAATAAAGACACAAAGCCTATGAAACCTGATCCCCTATCGACAAGTTAATAGGGTCGACAAGGTTCAAGCTTAAAATGGAAATAATCCCAAACACCTCGATGATGGCTGTGTTGAACGCAAATCTCAACCGGAGGGGTCCATTCCAAGTAATCCAAAACTCCACAAAGCTCAAAATCCAAAAATCCCAGAAAATCATCCACTCCAAAATATTTAAAATTGAAATAAATCCATAAACTACTTAAAGTAAAATTCATTTATTCTCCGCAATAGTTTGTCGGGTTGGATAAATTAGTAAATTACTTCAGCTCACAAAGAGCTAATGCTTAGTCGAAAATATCACTAGGATTCATTCTAAAATAATCTCATGCTAGTAAGGACGTGGTATGTGTCCTCTAACTGGTCGTTTTGCCGCCAAATGACACCGCAGGATAAACAATTATGACCTAGGACCCTTTGAATCGAATGATTTTGCCGCCAAATGGCACCACGAAATACCGATTATGGCTAGAGTCTATATGTTCTTTAATGGTATCAAATCCTTGAGATATGAATCAATAGGATATGATCGATAGGGTACAAAGCTCTCTGTTAGTTAAGGTGGATTCAAATTTATCCTCTTAGATAAACATTCAACCTAGGTCTACAAGGTCCCCTTGGCGAAGCAACTCATGACTGCCGACAAGGATCCTTCTTTCAGGTTGGGTCGAATACCTCCTCTGACTAAGTAGACCAGGGACCATGATGATGCAGGATGACGCAACTATGGGATCTGATCGGGTCTATCATTCATTCCCCCACTATCCGCTTTAAGTGTAAGATGGTGAAAATTTTTATTTTAAATATCAAACCTACAAACTCTTTAATTCCCAACCATTTTCTAATATACCTATACCCATGCTGCTACTATATGCCAAATACACGTATTTAACGTATCTGATTGACGACTAGCCTTAATCAAAAGTTCTCTCTCGTTATCGGGAGGGGTAATTAACTATATGGGCTTGCGCTTATAGGAAACTAGAACTCAGATCATAAAGTCCTCACAAAATGAGGGCGTAATCTTTGGGTAGTGTCTTATCTACAAACCCATCTGTCTTCCAAAATTTACCTCGGAACTTAATCCGTTAAAACTCCCCCAAAAAAGAAAAAGCAAACAGTCCGGCGGAGGCCGGGGCCCAAATTTCGGAGCCCACATGTAGTTATAAAATATGTTTACAAATTATGAATATAAATTTGATGACTAATACTTGCGTTGCATCAATAACGCTACTATCTAATAGTATTGCTTTGGAACAAAACCTTAATTTTGTTAATATTCCTACTCATGTGCGGGAGTAGTGCAACCATAAGCTATGGTTCTGCTGATGGGATTTAATCCACACCATTGAGTCATAACTACTTGTGATTTTGTACTGATTCTATTCTCTACGCAGTGCTATATATACATGTGTATGTCGAGATAAATGGCTAATGAAGAAAATGAATTCTAAATTTTCTCTCTTTTTTTTCCTATATGTAAATATCATTCTGCTGCTTTAACCTGTTCTAGTTACTGTTATCAAGTTTCATTCTTTATCTTTGTTACATCTTATTATGTTATTTCGTTCAAAGATTTGTTGACAATCTGCAGAGGATGGTTAATGGTGGTACTGTTGATTCATGGGCTTGCATATGTTTTGCTGGGCGAGTTTCTGAAGATGCGATTTATTATTTCTGTAACGAGTTGGTTGGCATGTGTAACAACATTGGAATGGTAGTTTCAAACACTCAATTTAATTTGATGATCATAACTTGGCCAACTAATTGTTGTACGAATTTTCTAGATTTTTAATTGCAACCCGGCAGTTGACATTTCTTTTTGGCCACCGTCACAAGTTGAAAATGGCTTAAGAGACTTGTACCACTTGTCTATTGAAAAATTGAACCATGAAGGAAAACACCTTCAAATGTTGATTGTTGTTTTGCCAGAGGCCAGTGATTCATATGGTATGTACATTCCAAAAAGCATTATTTCTCTCTTGCAGATTTTCTGCAGAAGTCAAAAGCTTGGTTTTCATACTAATTACTTGGTCACTAACTTTTTCAGGGAGGATAAAAACAATCTGTGAAACAGAGCTTGGTCTTGTGACCCAATGTTGCAAACCAACAAAAGTACTCAAGTGCGATAAGCAGTATCTTGAAAATATTGCTTTGAAAATTAATGTAAAGGTAAGGTTTGTAACTCCTCTACATATTTATTGGGCATGCTTATAAGATGTGCTGCTTCTGCATTATAATCTTATCATCTAGGTTGGTGGAAGAAACACTGTACTTGAGGATGCATTCAATAAGACACTTCCTTTTATTTCTGATGCACCAACTATTATTTTTGGGGCTGATGTAACCCATCCATCCCCAGGGGAGGACTCCCAGTCCTCCATTGCCGCGGTTTGTTTTTCTCTTTTCGATGGTCTTGCACTGGTAGATGCTAATAAGGCGCATTCTTTACAGTTTTCTCGCAATTCATGCTAGGTTGTGGCATCCATGGATTGGCCTTTGATGACAACTTACAGGTGTCTAATATCATCTCAGCAACATCGACAGGAAATGATACAGGATCTCTTTGCAAGCAATGCTGATCCTAAAAAGGGTAATGTTGCAGGAGGGATGGTAAGGTAAGGATAGCCATGTAGCTTGCATGTGAGTTTTCTATTCGGATGTCTGATTTTATTTTTCGATTTTTTGAAGGGAGCTACTGCAAGAATTTTACAAAGTGACAAACAGGAAACCCAATCGTATAATATTTTACAGGTCGCTTTTTTTATTGGAGGTGTTTTATTGCTCAATTATTTTTAGGTATCTTACTGCAAGAAATTTCCAAATTGTTTGAACATGTAGGGATGGGGTTAGTGAGGGCCAGTACGCTCAAGTCTTGCTGTATGAAGTTGATGCCATTAGAAAGGTTACTGTTTATCAAATTTTGTTATTTTCTTATTTGTCAAGCTATTGATTCCAAGGGCAGAACCACCTTGTGATCAGGGGGGCAATTGTCCCCCCCCCCCCCCCCCCCCCCCACCAAAAAGAACTAAGTCTATTTTCACCCGTAAAATTGATTATATGATTTTTTAGGAAATTTATCCCTCTTCATTCATTTTTAAGTCTTTATTACAAGGGTTTTTAGGCAATTTCTCACCCTAAAAATTTAAAAATACTATAGTCTTTAGTTAATTGCCCACATTAAATAGTAAAGAGAATTCATCATTGAATTCCAAAAATATCCTTTAAGTCGAATCCTGACCCCTGATATATATGCCTTATAAGTTTGCCCCCATGAAAATTAAGGTTGATTTCGCCCCTAATTGATTCCTTTAAATGCTTACTGCAAATCATAGCAGTTGTATTTCGTGAAATGTGATTTTCTGTGTCAGGCTTGTACCTCTCTAGATGAGGATTACCTTCCCCCTGTCACATTTGTAGTGGTGCAGAAGCGCCATCACACGCGATTGTTCCCTGCTGACCATCACCAGAAAGATTTGATTGATAGAAGTGGAAATATATTACCAGGTAATTTGTAGTTTTATAGTCATAGTTATATTTATATATCTCGCTATAATCGTTTTCCCTTTTAAGGAACTGTGGTGGATAGAGCCATTTGTCATCCAACAGAATTTGATTTCTATTTGTGCAGCCATAGCGGCATTCAGGTACTTTCTACTCAATCTAACGGTCAAAATATGTTAAAGCATAAAAGGGTGACCGAGTTGAGTTTGAACGAGTGGCCCCGGCTCAAATTAAAGATTTTAATTTTTCACTTGAGCTAAGTTAAACTTACATTGAAAATTTGATTAGGAGTACATTTCAGAGTTGATTCAAATCAAATTTATTCAACTTTTAAAATTTATTTTTCAAATTACTAATTAACAATATCCTATATAAATAAGAGAGACTGATTATACATATATGCACGCGCCATTCTTATGAAGATAAACCGACTTCAACCTTTAAATTTGTTAAAATTAACAAGTTATTAGTTTATGATATGATTCTTAGCCTTAGGCCCTTTAGCTTGATGAATTATTCTGTGCGGTCGCCGAACGTCATCTAGAGCTCAATGAAAATGCGCCACGTCACCTCCTATTTAGTACCGTGGCTCGGTACTGCTCGGTATTGGATGACATGGCTGCACTTGATTCGCCTCTGGACATAAGCTATCCTGGGTGGCCAGCGGCTAATACTTTTGTGTTGTCTTCTTTTTCCAATTTTTTTCATTTGGATTCCTTACAGGGCACAAGTAGGCCAACTCACTATCATGTCCTATTTGACGAAAACAAATTTTCTGCTGATGCATTGCAGTCTTTGACCTATAACCTTTGCTATACGTGAGTTGAAGAATGCTGCAACTCCTTATTGTATTTTGTTTATTGTCATTTTTGTTCCTTTCCTCTCTATCCTATCTAATTTCAAATTGCTGGGATCCACAGATATGCTCGCTGCACTCGCTCTGTGTCTGTTGGTAGGTTTTCTCTACTACTTCCGAATGTCTTCCTTCTTGTCCATGGCCACTTACATTTTAAACCATTATATGCCATTGTAGTTCCTCCAGCATACTATGCGCATCTTGCGGCGTTTCGCGCACGATACTACGTCGAAGGGAAGCCGGAATATAGATCTAATCGCACAAACACGAGGGAGAAAACATCTGAGATACAGCCACTTCCAAAGATCAAAGACACCATCAAACATGTAATGTTCTACTGTTGATGAGCTTCAGCTCAAGGTATAGTTTTGATAGCTTGGAATTTGTTCCTTCACTTCTGTTTAGAATTGTTCTTGCTATCTTGCTTCAGGTATTGACATTGTTGCTGTTTCTACGATTTGAGTCAGTTTTTTTACCACTTATGAGCAAATTAATATAAATTAATTTAAAATTTTTTAATTGATAGTCAAAGCTCTCAACTAATAGATCAAGATGAGCTGCACAATTATAATAATATAACTAAAGGGTTAATGCATTGCTGTAACTGTGAAAACCATAACCAAATTGAAAAAAAAAAAGAAATCTAATTCAATAGTAGTAATTGCAGAGTATTTGCAAGTCTGTAATCTATCTTTTTGTTGTGTCAAATTTAACTTATAATTAATGGTGCAATTTGAATTAGCTGTGAAGTTAGGAATTTTTTTGGCACATAAAATAATTCTAATAATTAGATCATTACTTAAAATTTTATGGTTTGAAATTATCAAATAGCAAATTTTATTTATATTCATTTATTATATATTAAATTGATGAATATTTAGAAGGGAGAGGTTCCTTCAATTTTTCCCATTTAGTTTTGCCATGTTTTAGAATCTTTTCCTTTGAAAAATTGCTGTGTAATTTGTGGTGTTGAATTTACCTCAAATTATATAAAATTGTATTTATAAAAGAAATTAAGTAGATAATAAACATATAAAAAAATTATGAGGCATTATTACTTTAAATTTAAATATATAACTATATTATTTTTTATGCTAAATATAAGTTTTCACTGAATAGGCTGTTTCAGGAGAATTTCGGATGTTATTTTTTATTTCGACTCTAATTTGTTGGAAAAATGTCAGTTTTTTCTGAATTATATATTGTACATTGTATGAGAAAAAAGTCACCTACAGTCTAAACTATAAATATTCTCATCAAGCGAATGTAGGGCCAACAGAAGGCAGCATTCGTTTGTGGCCCTTGGGCCGTGCGAGTTAAAAGTAGGGGCCCATTTACGAAAATATTTTAAAACTTTTAAAAATTTAAAATTTTCATAAAAAATAATATATATATCTCGATTTTGATTAGGCATTGTGTTTGTGTGATCTCTTACCTTACAAGCTTTGCAGTAAACATATAAGGTGATGCATGAAAGCCCCTATGATTATACATTTTAATAAATAATGACTGTGATTAAGACAAAGGAGTTATCTTAACACATTTTAATTATAGCACTTTACAACTTAACTATAGCACTTATAATTATACTTTATAATCACTACAACTCATTATTGAGGCTAATGATCATGATGGTTAAACACATAAGGTTCAATTGGGCCAATGACCACAACCTAATCATAATCATCTTGAACCTTTGGAGCTATTCAATAACACATTATTGAGAGGCACAAGCATATTGAATTATAATTGATTTGCAAAACCATCTAATGACTTGTAGAAAAGGGAAAGTTATTACCAAGTTATGAGTTCAATAAGGCTTATCCCACTTAGTCTCAAGTTGGTGTATTGATTTGACTTTGTTTGGGACGGTTTTCTTATTGCTGCTTAAAGTAGCTTTTTAATAATTTTTAGATTAAAAATTTGTTTTAAGAAGCGGTAAGAAAACCGTCCCAAACGAAGCCAAATTCTATTCAACATTTTAACTCTGCTTGTTAGTTCTTTTACTTTTCAAGAGTAACTAACCCTCGAAGATCGCAAATACGCACACCAACAACATACGATCTCTTGATAATTGAGCTTGCCATCACCGACTGCGTTCTTCGACCATCTTGCTTGATTTGTGGAGACCTTGAAATTTCTTGTTGCAAGGAGAGTTGCAGTGTTGGACCATAAATTGAGGTGGCCAACGGCTACATTGATTTGTCATGGAGTCTACAACCTAAATATGTTAACGGCTCGTTTTTTTTTTCAAATTCAATGTGCGTATTAGTACAATAAAAAGCTTTAATAAATTGCAACAATGAAATATAGTACTATTCATAGCATTTCATTCTAAAAAATATATTCACAAACTCGCTGAAAACCATTATTAGTTCACTACAGCTTTTATAAAAAGAAAGAAAGAAAGAAAGAAATGGGAATGATTTTCTCCTAACAATTGAATTTAAATGTCTAGAGGCCACATACAAATCTCAATATGACAATATGCTTATGTACTATACGCTCCATATCCACTTGTTTACTCCACAAAACAGATGGCGACTCAATAAACAAAAAAATTGGGTAGGAAAATAAATGAGAAAATCCTTCACTATAACTTTGTTAATGATCAATCAGATTTTAGCTTACTTGTCAAGTGGAGTCCTGTTGACCAATATGCCATCATCCCAAAGCTCTGTCCACCTATCAAATTAAAATTGACATAAAAAAGACATTATATGAAATAATATTATCAAGAAAGCATTGATGATAATAGCATTATAAAAGAATCTCTAAGAGGAATTGGCTATCATTGCTGTTGAACTTGATTTCAAGTTAATTTTAATTCTGCAGAGAATCTTACATGAAAAACATAATATTGCAAGTGCACTTTTTCCATGATTTAACCAAATGAAGAAAAATCATGTTTTCTGCTTCTCCATGTAGTTATTAATACCTTGATCCGTCGGCATCTATGCACACACTTCGGCCATGACGCCAGCCATCGCGAAAGAAACCAAAGAAGACACTTCCATTCTTTGAAAAAAATCTTCCCTCTCCATTTGCCTTGCCTCTCCAAAAGTTTGCAAACCACCTATCACCTGTATGAAAATAGAACCAGCCCTGCACAAACACAACTAATGTGCATAACATTTGCAGGGTAAACAAAAAGAAAGTCCTTGCAAAAAATAAAATGCTTTGTTAAAAGTATCTAAGAAAATAGTTCATTCATGAAGATTAGCTCCTGCTGCAAATCTGATACCAAACAGCCCCCTAAGAGTTGAAATACAATTTTGATCTTTTGCATATTTCATTTAAGATTTATATTAATAAACCCTACAACCTAAGACATTCTGCGTTACCCTATTATAATGGATTGCATGGTATATCTAACCCTGCAAGAGCATGGAACATATATGTATATGTAAAATAAAAATATACATGAATAAGGAAAAATAACTTGAAGGGATTAAAATTAAAATTGGTCAAGCTTTTATGAAAGATTCTACCTTTCCATGCATGAGATCATCTCTCCATGGTCCCCTAAAAAGGTCTCCATTACTATAGCAGAAAGTACCAAGACCTGACCTCTTTCCACATTTCCAAAAGCCTTCATAAAAACTTCCATCCATTGAGGTTAACCGACCCTAGAATTTGAATGCATCAATGGATCTGATTAGAACACTATGAATGACTTCTTATCAGCTAATCTCAGCTTTATAATGTAATAAAGTTCTTGTAACTGCCTCATATTTCAAGTTTTCAGCAATATTATACCTTCCCATCAGGAAGACCTGCTCGACATCTTCCTCTGTACATTCCTCCTTTATATTGGATTTCCACGACTGGATTCCAACTTTTCAGAGATTCCCTTTCTGCTTCCTGAATAGCTTCCTTTCGTTAAAATATTTTAAAAAAATAGAAAAAAGGGGTCATGCAATAAACATTTGAAAACATAAAAAATATGCAGGACAATAATGAGGATATTCGGTGACTTAAATAAAACTAATTTAATGAGGAGAAAAGAACTGGAAATGAAATTTTAGACTTTTTCACGTTAATAAAATAAAATTCAATGAAAAGTAGATGAAAGTTAAGAAAGAAAGAAATGTTAGGTAGTCTTCTATTTATCACTATCTAAGGTAGCATATCATAATCATCTTAATATGATGAGTATCTCTCAAATCAACCAACGTCTCCCTACCTCAATATGTGGATCTCCTGTGCCTTTCAATATCTCCAAAAATATCAAAGCTTTGTACACAATCATAAATTAGGATATACTATGATTATCATTAAAACATTATTAGAGCGAGAACAGCTTTGAAAAGAAGAACAAGAAGAAGAAGAAGAAAAAACATCTAGTCATGGTAGCTAGATCAAATGACAACTACTGTCAAATATTTGAAAAAAGCCTCTTTCAAGGTTTTTAATGATTGAGAAAATTCCTGAGACAAAAAAAAAATACCAGCATCATAGCTGCACGAACAGAAAGCAAGCTGTCTTTCTTGGACATATCAGATGTGATCCCACCTGCAAATGACATTGAAATATTTTAAACATTGTTACCTTGAAACCTGTTTAGAATGCTGTTAAAGCTTATCCACATACCCAATACTTCATTATTAATGTAATCAGAATTTTCTGCTAGCACGTGATTAGAATATGGTTTACTGTCTGGTTCTAATTTCGATGATTTTACACCAACTGGAAGACTAAATGTGTCCACTTTATCATTTTTCTTTGATCTACTCGCAGAACACTTCTTGGCCCAGAGCTGAGCAACGTGGAAGGCCGGACCGATCTCATGGCCACCCTGCTTCACCACCGCAATACCCTGTTTTCCTGATCAAGAACAAGATATGAAAACAATTATAGTTGTGTGCTATAAAAGGGTGTAGCTCATTAATGCAAGCACTATACATACCTCCACTAGGTTGGTTACCAAATTTACTCATAGGCGCATTGTTGGTTTCCCCCAGTTCAGCCACCTCTCCTGTAGTTTCATGACAGGAATCGCTGCAATAAATACAACAACAGTAAATAATGCAAATTTTCCGCTGCACATATTATGATTTAGGCTTCGTTTGGGACGGCTTTATTACTACTTCATAAAGTAGTTTTCTTGTACAAAAATTAAAATTTTTATACTAGAAAACTGCTTTATGAAGAAGAAAGAAAGTCGTCCCAAACGAAGCCATAGTAGTATAAGATGACTGCACTTTAGGTAGAACAAACTTACTTTCTTAATGTCACGTTTTCAAGCTTATCAGAAAATGCACCCTGATTTAGATTGTGCTCTAATGGATAGACCAACTTAGTCAAATGACTCAAATCCCAAACTGATTTGCTCCCACTGGCTGATGCGAGTAATGGGTCACCAAAAGAATGATTTGCTGGAAGGTTGCTTGCTTCAGTTGAATTTATTTTAAAAAATCGATAGAAGAATGGAAGATTCTCGAGGATACTGCTTAAGAAACCCTTATTATGAGTAACCATTTTCTCATTGTGGCCGCTGATTGCAGTAGTCATCAAAAGAGAAGATCAGTAATTCATAAATGATTTTAAGTTGTAATGTGAACAAAAAATGAAATCAAAATACTTGGTCATTAAACTGAAAAATCTTAAATTCCCATTTTTTAATATTCAACTACAAGAGGAGTATGTGATTCAATGTCAACCAACCCCAACCAAAAAAAAAAAAAAAAAACGAGCAATTTCTTTCCAATTCACATTCTCAAAAATGTTTCAAAACCATCTCTCTTATAGGTGAAGACACAGAAGCTCATAATTCATTTCCTCCTAATTATGATAGATGCATTATGATGGATAACACGCTAGTAGATAGAAGCGCAGATAGGAGGTTACATATCCTATTTACAAAACAAGGCCTCGATAAGAAAAAAATTTATCATCATTCTCTGTTTTTCACCACGCTTCAACCTAGGCGGTTCAATTATGCCTGTAATCGATGATATCTTTATTTTATCCTATGTATATTTCTTTCTTTTCTAGAAATTCTTGTTAATCTTTATGTACTCCTATAATTTGTTTTTAATAAAATTATGCTTAAAAATGTTTTAATACCACCTATCATCAGTCCCAAGTCCAAAGGAGAAAGGTTGAGTGCTGGCATTAGACCAATAAATGAAAATCATAAAATTATGCTAAAACTAATGAAATATATGTGAATTTGAATTTTTCTAGAGCCATAGCATACCCCAAAGTAGCACGCCATAATCTAGCCTGTTTCTGGAGAGAGGTATGCAATGCTTGCAAGAATATAACTCGTAACTGGCATATCACAACTTAATCCCATAGCAGTTAAAAAGAGGTAACGCTTTGCTAGAATGACATTCGAATGTGATGCTTAACAATTTAACCAAATTGTGGTGAAAAATAAGCAATGTGAATTAGGAGATCAACTGTGAGTGGCACGCCATATTCAACTCAATTATGGTGAGAGTGAGAAAGTTTTACTAGAATTAAAATTAAATTCAATTCAATTAGATTTGATATATGAGGTAGGATGAGAAGAATTGACAAACACAATAATTAGAAGTAAATTAGATATCAGTTGTTTGCAATAACTAAAATGAAAAGGAGAGAAATTCTAGGTTAGTAGGGGAAGCTTAAAAGTTATACCCCAGCCTCTCACTTCATAGTGCATTATAAATGTAGTTATTGTTATGCCCCTTATACAAAAAAAAAAAAATTGTTATGCCCCTTAAATTGGTTTGGAAGTTTATTTAGAGAATCGTTTTTTGAAAGAAACAGATGAGTTATTATAACAAATGCTTATAGAAGAAGGTTATTTATTGATGGGAACTTAAATAGACAAATATGCTCTTATAGGAGCTATGAATGGATTCATGGAGAGTATAGAATACAAGGAAAAAATTCAATTGGAGATGATATCATTGATTCTGTAATTGTCTATGCTCTTAATACATTCATATTAGACCTTCAAGGCCTATAACAATGAAAATTCATTCACAAAAGCATAAAGCCCAAGGGTGTAAACGAGTCGAGTTGAGTCGAGCATTTTCCTTATCAAGCCTGGCTCGTTTAATCCTTAATGAGCTCGAGCTCGAGATCGAGCTCGATTAGTGGGTTCGATATCGACTCATTTAGAAAATATCAAGCTCGAGCTCGAGATCGAGCTCTTTTGAGAAGCACCAACAAATGTGATGCGTATTATTATATATAAAAATAATATTATAAATATTATATATATAATTATATCGAGTAGCTTGATAAACTTTCGAGTTGAGTCGGGTTGAGCTCAAACTCGAGCTCGTTTATTATACGAGCTCGATTGTAGGCTCGAGCTCGAGCTCGAAGCTCGATAAGCTCGGCTCGCGAGCTCGTTAACGAGTTGAGTTCGAGCCGACTCACGAGTCGGCTCCCCTAATAAAGCCTATGAAACCCGATCCATTGTCGATAGCTTGACAGAGTTGATAAGTTTAAATACAAAAGCAGAAAATGACCCCATACACCCCGATGATGACCGTGTTGAATGTTTATCTCAACCGGAGGGGTTCACAAACAATTTCAAATACTTCCAAACTTTCACAAAATTCAAATTCCTAAAAAAATATAAGTGATGATGACCATGTTGAATGCAAATCTCAACCGGAGGGGTTAATTCTAAATATTTTAACAATGTCACCCAAATACTCGTTAAACATTCAAAATTCAAAGTCCAAAACCCAAAAATTTCCAAAATTCCAACATTCTTAAACTCCAAAAGTTTAAAATTGAAATTATCCATCGATAACTTTCTACCATCCACAACAGTTTGCAGGAGTGGACAAATTGAAATGTACTTCAGCTCACAAAGAGCTAGTGCCTAGTCGAAAATATCACTAGGATCTATTTTCAAATAATCTTCTACCAATAAGGACGTGGTACGTGTCCTCTAACCAGTGATTTTTTTGCCAAATGGCACCGTAGGATAAACGGTTATGACCAAGGGCCCCCTGAACCGAGTGGTTTTGCCGCCAAATGGCACCACAAATATTGGTTATGGCCAGAGCCAATACGCTCCTTAGTGGCATCAAATCCTTAAGATATGAATCAATAGGATATGATCAATAAGGCACAAAGCCCTCTGTTAGCTAAGGTGGATTCAAATTTATCCCCTTAGACAAACATTCTGTAAGGTTTGGTCGACTACCTCCTCTAACTAAGTAGACCAGGGACCACGATGGCCGGAGACGATGGAACCATGGGATCTTGATCGGGTCCATCATCCATTCCCCCACCATCCGCTTTAAGTGCTAGATGGTGCCATTCTAAATATCAAGATTATCAAATTCCCAAATTTCTTAAGCCCATGCTGCTGCTATATGCTGAATACCGCGTATCTATGAATATAACGTATTCATCGATGTCTAGAATTTATTTCAAGTTCCCTCTTGTCATCGACTGATCGGGAGGGGTAATTAACTATAGGGTTGCGCCTATAGGAATTAAGAACTCAGATCATAAAGTCCTCGTAAAATGAGGGTGAAATCTCTGGGTAGTGTCTTATCTACAAATGTATTTGTCTTCCCAAAATTTACCCTGGAACTTAATTCATTAAAACTCCCCGAAAGAAAAAGCAAGCAGGCGGAGGCCGGGGCCGAATTTCCGAAGCCCACAACTGGATGACGTATTAAATACTAAAATTATTCAAATATAATAAAAATTATGTAATAATTAAATTTTAACATAAAAATATATAAGTATTTTGATTAAAGCTCATGAATAAGCTCGATTAAAGCTCAAAATAAAGCTTATTAAAAAGCTCAATTAATCATTAATGTTAATCTAAGTATATGTATATTACAAATATAATTATATGCATATTAAATAGGATTTTAAATTAAAAAAATAAAGAATATATGTATGTTTGTGTGTGTATATATATATATATATATATACACACATAATATTTAATCAGTTTTTTATTTTTTTAATTTAAAATCCT